TATATTACCTACGATCTTAAGGATTTAATTAAATACTTATGATCTCGAGAGAGATGTGGAATTTAATTTAGATATATCAAGAGATAATCTAATGTACCATTGCGTGATATATTTTTGGCTTGTTAAGAAATTAACTAAATAATTTATTCTAATTCTGGATCTAAATCTGGATCCCTAGTCTTTTTCAATTGTTTTCTCATCTTTATTTATTTGATTTGGTTATCTATTTTCTTCTTTAATTAGTAAAAAAATAAATCTTTTGAAATTTATTGTTTTTCGATAATAATTAAATTAGATAAAATTAACTCGTCCCTGTTGGTTCAATCCCTGGAACACTCTAGATGATTTTATTATTACAATCAACTCTGTGCGTTTGCAGAAATTTGTTGATCAGTTTCAACTATTCTCAATAATATAATTACTTCCTACATTGGTTTAAAATTATTTTGTACAGATTTCACAAATTAATATATTTCGACAGCAGAACTTGAACACCTGAACAACGGGGAATAAGAGTCTTCCTCAAGCTGACAGAAATGAGATGTGGTTTTTACTTTCTGATGCCAACGCTGGCCCAACATACAGCGCGGAATGCATTCTACATTTTCTTTGAATCTGTCAGGCCTACTGCCTAATACTCGCGGTGCACATTTCAAACAAAAGAGAATATGAGATTCGCCCACACCAATGCCTCGCAGAATCTGAATATTAGGTGCCATAGTATTTTCTACGTCAAGCTGTAGAACCTGCGAGTATTGCTTAACAGCAAGCACAACATCTTCATCGGAATGGAGTGAGTTTTTTAGGAAATTATAAGCTGGAATTAGACGGTTTCCCAAGCTTCTATGAACTATTTTCGGCGAACCACATGCCAACTTACGAATGTCAAAGCTTGAGAATCCAACAGATTGCAAAAGTTCCAACTTGGGCGAAAATGTCTTGTCAGGGTTGGCTGAGAGAATTTGTGGACGCCCATAAATAAGGGTAGAGATTTGAGCATCATAATGCAACTGTTGAGACTGCATTTTCTGGGGTTTTGAAGTTAACATATTTTGAGGCGAAATGGGCTCTTTCTGGAGACAGCCCACATGAGTTAATCTAGTCAAAGAAACTACCATTGACTGCTTTTCTGAAGTTCTTATGATGGAAGATGATGAAAATGGCAGGTCGGTTTGAAGAAAATGCAGTTCTTGTTTATGGAATCGTATTAAAATTGTCAATTGAGCAATTTCTTGCATAAGCCAATGTCCCACAGTTGCATACGAAATTAAACATATTTGAGAAAATATCAGCAACATGAAAATGATTTTAGAAGGTTCACCTCAAGAACCATACATGTCTGAGAAGTATTCATCAATCCCAATGCAGCATAGAACCTTCGTTCAAATTCTCAATTCATAAACCCTAAGCCAACAAGTAGAAACCCTGCTGCAGCTTTGACATGTATAACTTTCCCCAGTTCCTGCAGTAGGGGGGTGGCGGCCGTGCCTGGGTTGGTTCGTGACAGAGAATTCCAACCTGGTAGCGAACCTTGAGTCGCAGTTCTAATTCCGGTTTGGTTAGAACCGCACCCAACACCGCCCCCCCCCCCCCCCCAAACAAAAAAAACAAGAAAAGTCATGGAGCAAATGCTAATTACTATTTTTTTCCCTATTGCATTCATGTACTTATATAATTCATTGAATACCTTCAAATTTTCAATATTAGTTGTAATATTCTTTTATCGAAATTGTGAGGTGCTATTTGGTAGAATTTGTATCATCTTTCTTTTCCTTGTTTGTTAAATAATCACATGAAAATTTTATTTTTCTCTAATTTTATTTTCTTCAGCTTCTTCTTATCTAATTTTGTGGTTACGAGTGAATAAGTCCAGGTCGAACTAAATTAGACACTTGTAACAGCAGAGATAAGAAGAAACTAAAAAAAACAAAATTCGAGGAAAATAAAGTGTTCACGTGATTATTTAACAAACAAGGAAAAGAAAGTTGATACAAATTCTATAAAAAGAATATTACAACTGGGGTGGCAACGGATTATGTCGTATCGTTATTGTGTTCAAGTCAAAAAGTGTCACCTCTAACTCAATCTACTAGATTTTGAAGTCGTGTCCTACTTATTAATAGGTTGACACGATCCAACTTGCTTAACTCGTTGATAGGGCGTAAAATGTAGTGCATTTATATGTATAAGTTGTTAGTTAACTATGTTATTTGAACTTTATCTTGAGTAGAAACTAGTTAATTTTGTTCTTATATGGTTCTGATAGGTGAATAGTTCAATTGGAGAGAAAATAAATAAAAAACATGATGCAAAGAAGTAATGGAAGAAGAAGAATTTAAGAGAAAGAGATTTGACAGAATTGACATATTTCAGTATTTTGGTGATAAGTTGAGTTACTAAAATCATATTGAGACGATTCTTGATTTATTTTAAATTTGAGAGAATTATCTACAATTCTTATGAGACATTAGAATCCACTTCTCATGTTTTCATAGTAAAAAATCCAAATAATTGAAGCATATTTGCAGTGCAATGTACCTTTGACCAGTTCTAGTATTTTAGGTATATCTCAGTGTCCCGACTCCAAATGACGTGATTTTTATGGCATTGAAAAATTAATTCAAAGGATTTTAACTTTCATGTTTTGTACAAGAGCTGATTTGTCCTTATTGATGGAGATTTTGGGCTTCAAATATGATCCACATGCGGATCCATGACCGGCACCAACCATCAATTTGGACTTCACGTCGGACTTCTTCAGATTCTTTTATATTTTGATCTTGGCCCAATGACTGGTACTAGACATTGGGACGACACTACATATTTCAGTATTTTGGTGATAAGTTGAGTTCCCACAATCGAATTGAGATGATTATTAATTTATTTTGAAGTTAAGATAATTATCTACAATTCTTATGGGACATTAGAGCCAATTTCTCATGTTTTCATAGTAAAAAATCCAAATTACTAAAGTATATTTATGCTGCGATGTTCTTCCAACCAGTTCTCAGTATTTTAGGTGTATCTCGGCGTCTAGACCTCTAAATGACTTGATTCTTGTGGCATTGGAAAGTTAATTCAAAGAGTTCACTTTCATGTTTTGTGCAAAAGTTGATTCGATCTTATTGATGGAGTTTTTGGGCTTCAAATATGATCCAAATGTGGATGCTTGAAGATCCACAAGTGGATCCATGACCGGCGCCGATCATCAATTTTGGATTTCATGTCGGACTTCTTCAGTTCTTTTGTATTTTGAGTTTGGCTCAATGGCCGGCGCCGGACATTGTTAGGACATTGGGCCGACACTACATGTTTTAGTATTTTGGTGATAAGTTGAGTTATCAAAATTGGATTGAGATGATTCTTGATTTATTTTAAAATTAAGAGAATTATCTACAATTCTTATGAGATATTAGAGTCTACTTCTCATGTTTTCATAGTAAAAAATTCAAATTACTAAAGTATATTTGTGCTGCAATGTTCTTCCAACCAGTTCTCAATATTTTAGGTGTATCTTAATGTCCAAGCCTCCAAATGACTTGATTCTTGGGCATTGGAAAGTTAATTTAAAGGATTACAACTTTCATGTTTTATACAAGAACTGATTCGTCCTTATTGATGGATGTTTTGGGCTTCAAATATGATCTATACGCATTTCCTTGGAGATCTGCGAGCAGATCCATGATGAGCACCGATCATAAATTTGGACTTCACGTCGGATTTCTTTGGATTCATTTGTATTTTGAACTTGGCCCAACGACCGGTGTCGGGTATTAGGCTGGTCATTGGGTTGGACATTGTCAAAAAAATGTGCGAAAACATAATTTTTCAACTCCAATAAAACCTATTCCTACCTTGTTTAGTATACATCTTCGAGAAACTATATCTTCATGAATCCGATTAATTTAGCAACCAAGTACCCCATCCCCTTCCCCATTTCTTATTTCCGACAACTCTCGCTCTCAAAATAAAAAATGTAATTTAAAAAAATAAAGCAACTTGGATCGCTGACTAAAGGTGTTGAACACATCCATTTGAAAATAATGCATTTCAAAACTATCATTGATTGAAAAACTTCATGTGAAATCGTGTGCTTTGGAGGCTTAAGTGGCTGACACGAACATACGAGTAATCATGCATAGCATGAGACTTGACAGAAACAGGAGATGGAAGAGTTCTTTACTACAAAAGGCATCGTTCCAGCTTGATACAGACGTTTAGAAATGATCGATAACAGCTTGATCCATATTTTCTTTGAAGTCAAATGCAAGGTACCTTATAAAAGGAACTCAGATGCCATTCCAGTTGCTTGATGCTCAGTTACCCTCCCAACAATTTCGTTGCTTTTCAACTAAATGTACATTTACTTGTCATGAATATAAGAGCCCATCAAATTTATACGCACTTGTGAATTTTCACCACTAAACGGACAAAGTGTGGATTGTAACACATAAAGCTGTGAGTTACCTATTCGCAAATAGAATGGGATTGTTTTGATTAGGTATTTGCTTTTGGAACTCGGAATATGTTCTGCATAGGCAAAACAAGAAAAGGTGGGGTTTCTCTTTTTCTGCTTTTCACACAAGTGCTAGAGCAAATACACATGTTTAACGTATAAAACTAAGCAGAAGATTTTACTTTCGTGCCTAACATGGGCCATACTTTCGTGCCTAACATGGGCCATAATAAAAATACACGCGCTATCCTCTTTGCCCATAGCAGCAAGGTCCCTGATACGAGTAAGAAAGAAAGGGGGGAGAGATATTTTCCCAATCCCCAGTTGTTTGTCCGCCATAATCCTACGTGGCCTACAATAAGACCAGTTAAAGCAATCGATGGCCGCGACCGGATAAGAAATCGATAAGGCACAGAGCTTGACAACCCTCAGATGGATTCATCAATCAATCCAACGGACACAGATCCCCATGAGAGATAATCCCTTGCACCCCAAAATCTATTTCTCCACCAGCAATTGCGTTTGCGGGCTCTATATGTTACGGAACTTATGTACCATCTAGAATTCTAGATAAGGTTCTATCAAACTAAATTTTGTTTTTAGGGCCAATAGTTCATTACTTTACGTTAATTTTTTGTTGGAAACGAAAATTAACCGGTAGAATGGCCATATCCTGATGCGTGATGCCTTTCCTGATGCACAATGACTTTTCAATCAAATACATATTAATCATTAGATTCCCACAAAGGGCATTTAAGTGCCTATAAATACAAGGAGTCTGTTTTGTTATTTCATGTGCTAAACTCAGACAGTCGCAACCAATTACAAAAATCTATTGCCAGTCTTGCTCGCGTGCTAAGGAAAAAATGGCCGCCGTCGGAGCCAACTACAACATCAACATTTCTGAAATCACAGCCAACAGTAATATTCTATACATATTCTTTACAAATTCACGCATTAGATTTATAGTTCGCTTGCATTGCATGTTTATATTCCTTTTAAATAAAAGAGTGGTTTAATTTTCATGCTGTTTGGATTAAAACGGGCTTTGTTTCCTTGATGGAAATTAGTGAAAGCGGAGGGAGTCCAGTCCCCTGAGATGGAAGCTATGGTGAAGGCACTTTCAGACGACACGATATGGAAAACAATCGAGGGATTCAAGGGCAAGGACATGAGCACTCAGGAGAAAATGATTGTATGACTAGCTAGACCTATTTTTTTTTTTACTAAACTACACCAAATAATTGATATGCCTCTATTAGTATTTTTTTTTTTTTTTTTGGAATGCTTACAATTAAATTCGCACATGCATATCAGTTTTTAATTGATTCGTTAGCAGCAGGCAATTTGTTTTCCAATGCTGATTCTGCAAGTTCTTAATTTTCATACATTTGAGTACCGAAAAAGTGCCATATAAACTTTGCATTCTGCATTGACTGGTTTTAACAATTTTTTTTAAAAAAAAAAAATTCATACACAGTAGCTATAGTGTGGAATTCTTTATTTGAATACAAAAATGATTGAATTTTGAGGCCATAATAGGACCTTACAAAAAGCTTGTATGGAAACTTTTGAAAAAGTACAAGGAGTTGCAATTGAAAGTAGTTTAGTTTGTACATTCTTAAATTGCTTATGCAATTTATTACTATTATTTTCTTAAATTGTAATGTAGTTTCATATTAATTGGTTGAATTTAGTTTTCTGGCTGTTTGTTTGAAAAGAAATCCAATTAACTTTGTAATCTCAAAAACTCTTTTTTGTGTTTTTTCTTTTTTAACTAAATAAGAAATGTTTGGGGTTTACACTTTACAGAACAACATGATGGCCAGTGGTGGTCTAGCTCAACTCGGCATTCCTGTTCCAGAGCCAGTGAACCCAGCTGACCCTCACGTGATCACGAGCGCAAAATTTGCAGTGGAAAAGCAAAACGAGAATGCCGGGACAAGCCTGGTTTTCATCCAAGTGAATGGAGGCCTGCAGTGGAAAATTGTTATTGGCACTCTCTATACCCTTGTCCTTACAACTCAGGATTCTAAGGGCACATATACCGATTATGCAGTGTTTCTTGAGACCTTTTTGGGTCAGAAGTACCTCTTCTGGTATAAGCATTAATCAAGCATTACTGGAGTATTGCCACTGGGCCTTTGGTCCGGTGGTGTGTGGGAGGTCAAGGGTTCGACTCTTATCTTCTACCAAAAAATTGTCACAATATGTGACGACCTTAATTTGTCATTTTCGATGGAATCTTTACTTACATCGAGTCCTCCTCCCCTTCCCCCTATATTAGATTAGATTGGGTTATAGAAATTCTATCATTGCGACAAAAAAAAAAAAAAGCATTACTACCCTGATCAATTGAGGATGACTAATGTACTCTATTAAGTACTTTTAATTATGTGGTGTCTATGCTGTGCTTTGATTATATGCACGCATGGATGTTTTAAACGATGGATGCACTTCTGACATGCAAGCAATGATGGTCCGTTATATTTAAACTGTAACAAAAGGAATTGATAGATCTTCGTAGCAGTGCTGTCAATTGAGCTTAATAAGTTGAACTTTAACGAGTTTAAACTCGATTCACAAGATAAATAAAATTTTTGAACTTTTGAGCTTTTGAATTTGGGTCAAAGTGGGAAACTCAACTTACATTTTTACGCTAGTTTTCAGCTCAAATTGGACTTAGTCCAAGCTTCTAAGTAAATACATATTTAATTATGATATATGCTTAACAATGCTAAATTATCATACATTTATATTTAAATTATTAATATTTTATGTTATAATAGATTGCATCATACTACACACAGGGTGGACCTTAATCACGTCTGAACAAAACAAAGCCCAGGTGGTGTGGCTTCAGATCCAAGTTCAACTAAGGGCAAACGGGCTTTTTTTTTGGGTCAAGCAGGCCATATTTGAGCTACTGCAATCCTATTGGCAGTCCTACATTTATGTACCATTGGATCATGGTAAAACTTATCTCCTACCATATGTTTTGTTTGATTATCATGAGATTAAATACAATACACAAATCGTTCAAGCAATCAAGAAGAAAAACAAAATCTTGTGGTCAATACTAATGGAAAATATATGTTGAACTCATTCACCATTCGGTTTTCTAACCGTGAATAGTGATTAAAAACTCTTGAAATTTAAGTACGGGTTTTTCTTACGAGTGTTCATTGACACTCGTTAACACAACTAATATTCATTATCATATATATGCATGTACTAATAATTATTAGCCTTCCTTACATTTGTATACATTTTTCTTTGGTTCAAAACATTTGCATTTCATCTAAATTGTACTACTTATTATTATTTTATTTAGTTTAATTAACAACATGTGTAGAAATATTTTAGTACACAAATTTTGCCACTCCAACCCAGGGTCCTAACTCTGCCACTGCTATAATTCCATCCCAATGAATTCATTTTAATAAGCTTGTATCTAGACTTCATATGAAGTTTATTTCTTGTTGATTGCTTATCGGAAAAGGCAAATTTGCGGAGACATAACATTGGAGGCTTAAACTTGAAATTTTCCTTTGTTGATCGATAAGAAAAGCAACTTAAAATGAAGAAAGCTTATTAGTAGTTTGCTATTTTTTCACAGTAACTCCAGTGCACAAACACTAATACAAACTGAAGTGGGAGCAATTAAATTTGTTTTCAAAGTTGTCGAAATCTATTTAGAATATGCAATGGCCGTTGAGGTTTCGAGGAAGACGCCAACGGATGTTAATTGTTATGTTCAATTGTGGACTGGATCTCCACAATTATGTTAAATAGGGAAAAGCTTCTAACGTTAACGACCCTATACTTCTTTCGATGATTAGGTCACTTTTCTTCTCTTATTTTTTTTGATAATAAAAAGTTTGCGTGAATTTGACTCTAATCACCATTATAAGTTAGGGTATATCCGCGTGATCATAAATCGCTTACAAAGGTTCTTAGATCACTAACATAACCCTCACATCAATAGCATGATTCGAAGAACACACGACCTTTTATGAGGATGTGGCCCGTTCTTACCAATTGAGCTAACTTTTATGCAATGGACTAGCGGGATTTGAACACACGACCATTTGATTACTTTTCAATAGTAAAGACTCTACAAGTTGACATTCTATAGTGTGTTTTAGTGAATTATACATGACTACATATGAATTATCTATACTGTATATCAAGTGGGAATCATGAATTTTGGCGTAAATGTTTTTTTAATCACTTTTATTTTATAGATATAAAATCGCAGGTAGAGGCATATTAAGTCGGGTTTCGTAGAATTTGGCAATTGATTACCAAAAGGCACATGTGGAACTTTCATTGCCACTGAAATAGTAAACTAAGCCTGCGCTTATCTTAATTAACATTATTGTTTTAATTTACTTTCACAATATCGTCCAAACCTTCATTTATCCTATTAGCATTATTTCGATTTGCTTTCATTCATCTTAGACAGGACTAACCCACAGTAATTGAAACTTACTCGTAAGAAACTTCTGTCATTTCGACTTTCTCGATTGTTTAGAATTTCATGACCCTATAATACCATTTCCGCATTGCCTCCTACATTAAGTACCTGTATTTGTTCCTGCTTAACCAAGCAGCATTTTAGTTTTTCTTTTGGGGTTAAAGAAGGGGAGGAACGAGAATTAAGAAGCGGGATGGGGAGATGAGGGAAGGGAGATTTAAACCCAGAGACGTTAATTCTTAGAATCTCAACTTTAGTCATTAGACCAAATCCCCCTCGAATATTTACCTTAACTGATGAGCTACTTACCAGATATTGGAGCTCAAATTAGCTATTCAGCTAACGGTGACATTGCAGCTGTGCAAGTATGCTCCAATCATTTTTGATCCACCAGCCACACCAAAATCACTATGTAGCCCCTGACACAGTAACTGGACAAGCAGAATCTGCAGTTGCTACATGCATGAAAGCAGATGGTTGATATTTCTTTAGCACTGATATGCGCAACTGATTCATACTTCAACACCTTCCAACATAACTCAAAAGCATAGTCATATTTACAAGGCTAGACCTCACCAGTGAGGTGTAGCTTCACCTAGCTACACCTATAGAGAGGATGTATTCTAGTCAAACACTTGTAAGCACAAACTATGGATTCTATTTAAAAGCACTATATGACAATTGTAAAAGCATAAACAAATTAAACATTCTCTTATTATGTTTCTATGGCCAAACCATCATGCACCCAATTTCTCATAATGACAAATGCCTTCTCTGCATCTTCATCTTCTTCAGGAGACTCAGGCCTGTGGACAAAACCATGGCCTCTTCCCTGAAAGACTACTATTTTTTGGTGCTCGATTTCTTTCCCAATATCTTTTAAATTGTTCACTGGACATAGTGGGTCATTGTCACCTGCAATAAACAGCACTGGTACCCTTATATTAGCTGCAGCTGAGGTACTAATTCCTGTTCCATAGAATGAGACCCCAACGCCAAAGCAGCCACCCTGGTCATGTGCAAGAATATCTATCACTTGGCCACCTCCAAAACAGAATCCAATGATGCCCAGTTTCTTTGTGATTCCTGCAGCAACAAATTCATTGACCATCCAATCTGCTGAGATAAAAATGTCTTTTGCAATATGTTCCGGATTTTGTCTAGCACGCCATTCTTCAAAGAGAGCTTTAGGCCTCTCTTTGGTCCATGGATCCCCGCGAAAAAGGTCTGGTACCAGAACACTGCCAAATGTTCACAAAGCAGCAGCAAAAAATCTTATCAGCAAAGGAATCTAAATGCACTCAGAACAGAACTCACCATGTCAAGCAAACATTTCTACGGAGATGTGTACAAGTACATTTTTGGCAATAAAAAGCAAAAAGGCATGATTTCCAAATAGTATTGTTGATTACTTGTGTGTTTGTTTTTGCTTATTTTGATTTTCTTTTTCTTTTTTCGGGTAAGTAAAAAATAGTTAATAGCCCTGGAGGTAGCAACATATAAGGCAGGTTCCAAGTTAACAACTCAAAGAAAAACACAAAGGAACACACTAGCCTAATTCCACCAATTACCTATAACAGAGTATACATATAAACAACCAGTATGTGACTAATACTGCAGAGAATTCCATGTTTTGCTTTCAGGTGTTCATGATTTCATGATTACCAGACTTTCTGAAGTGTGATTCATCTACCTTTATCAACTGTTTGATACAATTATTCTTTTCCAAAACATTTTTTTGAGCAACCTGTCAGCTCTTGTATCTTTGTGTGTTGAGGTTGACTAGAGAGGAGTATATTACAGAGAGTGGAAACTGGCATGGCCACTGGAACACTAGATTAAGGGGGCTTACCCAGGATGACTTGTGTCCTTGGGAAGTTTGCGTATGGCGTATGAAACTGTCGTACACGTATTGAAGGTCTGTCACTCATTGAGTTAGACTGAGGAAATGCTTACAAGTGAGATCTTTTTTTGGGTGAAGTTAAATTGAAGTAGTGTTACTGCAACTTACAGAAGGGAGTACCATGTTAACTACTACTCCATGACAAAATCTAGTTTCAGTCAAGTCACTAATTAGCAGCAATGCATAAGCTCGAAGGGGTAAATAACTCAGAAAAGCACAATATGATATGTCAACGTATGCAACGGGTACTATAAACAACTGATACAATTGGCCTATAGATGTAAAGGATCTGGAGCCGTCCATGAATACTTCCAAGTTCACGCATCAAGTAAACCAATAATCCAATTCCAAGCACAACCAATAAACCATTGTCATTTAAACTTATTATACATCACTGAAGTAAGAGAACAACGTACCTTTATATGGATATTTTTACTGAATGGCCAGATTATATGCTACAACTGTTAGTATAGGTATACATTTTGCAGCTAAAATAGTCTGTTTATATTCAGCTCAGATTGTTTATAGTAATTACCAATATTCAAGAGTGGAAAAGTATAGCCTTGAGCTTATTTTATTTAACGTTAAAAACTTGAAATTCTAGAGAAACTGAAGAAGCTTCAGTTCCTCAGATGATTATAGCTGTCTTAACACTGATGCGAAAAAAACAAGCAGAGGTAGCTTTATAAGAAGTGCCTATTGTCAAATGTTCTTGCAGAATCCACAGAAATTTGCTCTTGTGCAGGGAGTGGAAGTATAGTAATACAGTCTTGTCCTCAACTTCACATAAGCTTATTATTTGTGAGAGGAGTGAAAATTACCGAAAGTTCATACAACTTACTTGTAACCATTGCAAGCAACAAGGTACGCAAAATCTCTTGTGGCTGAATCTTCAAAACCAAATACGTCAGACAAGAGCAAAATGCCAGTTCCATTATTATTCTTCACTGCCGTGCACAGATAAGCATTAATCGCATCATCTCCCTCTCCAATCGAGAGCTCCACCCCATTCACAAGTTCACATGTCTCATCTTCTGTGATATCTTCCACTTTGAATTGACTGGCACATATTCTACTGTTCTTGTTC